CGGGCCTTGCATATTAGGCTGAGAAGTGCGTTCTGGCTATATATATATATATATATATATATATATATATATATATATATATATATATATATATATATATATATATATATATATGAAGGAGAAAGGTTTCGAGATCAGAAACACATAAAAATCAGGAACACAAATTATATCAGAAACTCATTCTTCTGTGAAGTTTCAGACACCCATGATAAATTTATTCTTCTACTTGATTTAGTAGAAAAACATAAAGTAAATCCAAATGTGTCTGTATCTCAACCCAGTGTATTACAAGCAGAGGCACGTTTACCTTCAATGGACTTGCCTATATTTGCTGGACTGGACGAAGAGAATTGGGGTACATTTTGGACATCATTTGATGTCCATATTCATTCTAAAACTTCTATAAATAAGGTAACCAAATTTTCTTACCTTCAAAGCCTCCTCAGAGGGGAAGCTAAGAAGATAATCACTAATTTATCTCTCACAGAGAGTAATTATGATGTAGCTATCCAATTATTGGAAGTTAATTACTGCAACAAAGAGTTGAGCGTAGCTAATTTATACTATCAATTATTATATATCAATTCACCTAGTAACAGATCAGACTCCCTTCAGAACTTCAGGTTGGAAGTAGTCTCTCTCGTGAAAGTCTTAAGTACTAAGGTAAATGTATCAGCTTCCGAATGGTCCCTTAAGTTACTCATTCAGAGGAAACTGCCTCGTAATATTTTACCAGAGATCTGCTCTCATTACAAAAAAGAGATTCTCTCTCTTGATCAAATATTTGAGGGACTGAGAATCACTCTCAATAGGCTAAAGGCTCATGATAAAATTAAATCTGAACCCAAACAGCCTGATGCTGAGAATTCAGTGAAACCGAAATTGACTCCAGTTAAGTCTAATAAACACAAAACTAAATCCACTACTCCCTTTGCTAGAAATAAGAGTAGTAACATAAGTACGTATTCTGGAACTCCCTCTAAAACTGTAATTGATCCGCCTATTAAGACGACAAATCCTACAAAAGAGAAAATGTTGTTCTGTAATAAGGAACACCTCACAACAAGTGTAGTACCTATACAGACCTATACAGATTCTAGGATTAAACGTCTTCAAGAATTACGCAAATGCACCAAATGTATGAGTTCTCATGACCCTAACAACTGTACTGTCATCTTACGTGTGTGTGCAATAAGTGCCACAAAGGTCGACATAATTACACCTTGTGTGGTAATGATCAATCAAGATCCACGAATTCTCATAAAGATTCAACCAAATCCACATCTGTACAATATTGTAAAGTACATCAGGAAATAAATATACTTGCTACAGAGTCGGGTAATACCACTACATTACCCACAGCTCAACTAAAATTAATTAGGAAGAAGTCTAGAATCTCCACTCGTGGTCTCTTCGACCTAGGTTCTCAAAAGACCTCCATCACCCAACAACTAGTTGATCAGCAAAAACTGAAAACTTTAAATCGAGTGAAAGTGAATATTTCCAGATTCTTGACAAATAGTAGACCTCGGGCCAGATTCACGAAAGCACTTACGCAAGCAGTTACGAATGTGTACATCTTTCCTCAATCTTTGACGGCTTTGGTTACATTTATTAAACAGTTTACAAGCATGAAAACTTGCCAATCAACTGTTGTTATTGTTATAAACAGTCTCCTGGTGCTTCGGAGCTCATTAACTGTTTAATAATTGTAAACAAAGCCGCCAAAGATTGAGGAAAGATGTTCAGATTCGTAAGTGCTTGCGTAAGTGCTTTCGTGAATCTGGCCCCTCGTTACTATCAAGTTGTAAAATTATTGGTACATCTAGAAGGCATTACCAAACCATTACAAGCCATCGTCGTTGACAAGATCCCCTTTCATTTACATGTAACCGGACATGGAAACACAGTTAAACTTCTTAAATGCAGCGGCATGAGGCTTGCTCATTACAAGATACATTCTGACTGTCTCAACAACGTGGGTATTCTCACAGGAGCTGATTATTACAATAAGTCTATTACTGGATGCACCAGGCAACGAGGTATGAATTTGTTGCGGTCAGCTGGAGGAAAATTACTCACAGGACCGGTGCTGATCCAGCAAAAATCTAAATCCACAATTAACCAACAAAATAATTCAATAGTGGTGTGACTATGCTTAGAACTATCACCACTTAAAATTAGAGACGTAGTTGAGGATGAGGATTCTAATCCCCCTGTTTACAAGTTATGGGATTTAGACCTAGGGTATCGTCCCTGAGCAACCAAGTCCAGATGACTCATGAACTTACCAACAGTATCTCAACAGTTATCTATCAAGATAAATAATATTGAATTAAATTGCCTGGGAAGTTGAACCACCCTCAGCTTCCAGTAAATTATTTCATGGCCTTTACCCAATTAAAATCACAAATAGTTAGGCTACACAAGCAGCCTGACAAATTACGACTATATCACAAATTGATACAGCAACAACTTGCTAACAAATTCATGGAAGTTGTTGAACAAGATAATAATAAATTAGGCCATTATTTGCCTCACCACGCTATCTTGAAAGACTCAGTGATGACACTGATTAGTATTGTGTTCAACTGTAGTGCCAAATTAAAGGCTGATAGCATTTCCCATAACGATTGCCTGCAAACTGAGCCTAGTCTAACTCAAAGACTACAAGATTTTTATTACGGTTTCGCTCTGAAATTTACGCTTACACGACTGACATCAGCAAAGCCTTTTTGAGAGTAGGTTTGCAAGAGGAAGACCGTGATTTTACAAAATTTCTCTGGGTAAAGGATCCTCAGGATCCTAATAGTGAAATCATCACCTACAGGTTTGCGTCAGTTCTATTCGGGGCCACATCTTCACCATTTTTGCTCCAAGTAACTTAGGATACTCATTTGAAGAAATGTGATAGCCCATACAAGGCTGAAATTAGCAACAACCTATAGGTAGATAACTTCCAGGGAACTACTGATCATGAAAACAAATTTGTGGAAATTTATCATGAGTCTAACCACGAATTACTGGCAGCCAATATGCCTTTACAGTCGTGGGCCTCTAATAATCAACAACTGAATCAAATTATCGAGAAAGAATTTCCTGAGTATCAAGTACCACTTTAATTGAAAGTTCCAGGCATGGAATGGAATACTTCCACTGATTAATTAAATATTAAGTCAGTGGAAACTAATACTTCTCCCTTAACCATGAGAAAATTACTCTCATATGTCAGTAAACTATTTTACCCTTTAGGCTTACCTAGTCCTATTTTAATTAAGGGCAAACTCCTCATGCAAGAGTACTGGCAGACCAATATGGGTTGGGATGATCCGTTGCCAAATGATCTGCAAGACAAATGACAGCAATTAACTAGGGATTTTAACAAGCTTAGTATTCTAAAAATCCCTCATAATGCTTTATGGATAAAATTTACCCACAAATTTCTGTGTGTTTTGCGATGCCTCGGGCAAAGCATATAGCGCAGTACCCTATTTAGTCAACACTCAGCAATCATTTATACTTACGTCTAAGGCTAGAGTGGCCCCAATTAAGAAAAGGTCACTACCCCAAATAGAGTTAACTGCTTTACTAGAAAGTGTAAGACTGGCTCATTGCCTGATAAAGACACTCAACAATATTCACTTTGGTGAGATAGTAGTGTGGTTAGACAATGAGGCAATCATACAATGGGTAAAAAACAACAACAGCAAAACTCCCTACGTTAGTAACAGAGTTAGAGAAATATGAAAATTGTCAGCTGATTATAAATTAAGACATGTCCCCACCAAGGACAATCCAGCTGACTATTTATCAAGAGGTTTAACCTTAAAGCAATTAGTTAAAACCCAGATGTAATTTACAGGACCCCAATGGTTGTTCAGTGGTCAGTGGCCCAAAAAGAAGCCACAACTTTTATTTTTTATTTTAATATATACATGCAAAGCATGCTCATAAATACAATAAAACAAGACAAAAAAAGGAAACAAACCAGGCAAAGAACAGAATCACTGGCCTGAAGGGCATACAGCAATACACAAACTCATAATACAAGCACACTGGTGAACACACAATACATAGCAACAGTAAAAATATACACAAAATAAATACAGGAAACAAGCATAAAAAAAACAATATCAGCCAAGGACAGCTAAGCCGCCCGAAGGGCACGCATCAAAACACAAACAAGCACACAAATAGTCCACGAATACATGAACAAACCGGAACAGGCTTATGCAGGAGCCAGGAAAAAACACTCACACCTCACACATGCAAGCAACCAAACACACTCGCACAAGAGCAAACACCAAGCAGAACAAAGACAAACAGTGAAAGAAAACACACAACACTCACCAATCCCACAGACTACTCATACTTATCCTGGCACTCCACCGCCAGAAAGCGTATACAATACGCCTCCCACAGCAACATGATGTTATCTGGGACCTGGGTATGATAAACTGTTCGAGGATCAGGCATTAAGTCCGGCACACCCACAACAAAACACTGGCCCTGCGGAACCCAAATGGAAGAAGGGCTCCATGGAACAGGTTGCATGCGGTCAACAGGGTCAAACTGCACGGGGTTATTATCATCATACGCCACTCCTGAGTCCAAGATGAGAGGTAGGGGTTTCTTACCAGGGAGCCGAGCACAGGGCAGCGTACTTGGAACCACACCGGGCAGCGCACAGGGCTGCGCACCAGGCCCCCCCCCCCAACCTAGGGTGCTGCACAGGGCCCCTCATCAACTACGGGATATTGCACCTGCTGGGACCCCCTCGCCGAGCATCCTTCTTCAGCACCAGCACAAGGCCATGGCTTGCACCAGCACCCTCACCATCCAAATACAGAGGAGCATCCAACCCCCCCCCCCCCCACTGTGGAGATTCCCCTGCAGAAGAAAAAACAGGAGGTAAATCTAAGGCACAAACATCGGCAGCAGCGGGCCCATGGTTGTCAGCAACTACTGTTGTTCTAGAGCGCGAAGCACCCGGAACCACCATGTTATCACCCGAAGACCCACCAGAGTCAAAATCTCCCACATCAGCCCAGGCAATAGAAGAACGTCGGGAATGCTTGGGCTCCGGCCGCACATCATCAGAGTCGGAAGCTGACCCAGAAACACGGGCATTACAAGCCAGAACCACCAATGCTCGACGCAGAACAGCAGCAGCTTCAACCACAGGGGGAACCTGGTCGCAAACAGCAGGAGGCTCTGCAGCTACCCCAGCACCCAGCACAGCCGGGACACAAGGCGAGGGCGCAGGGTCAGGCGCAGCAGCAGGAGAAGAGGAAGAGAAAGACGTCGACGACACGCAGAGACCACCCGGAAGATCCATGGGAGCAGCTGGAACAGCAACCGGAGCAAGAAGACAACAACCGGAGGTGTGCTGGACGACACAGGGGGGGGGGGCTACAGCAGGCAATGGCATGGCCACATCCTCACCCACGGAATCCTCATCCACAGGGAGCGGCGGGAAATCCTCTTCACGTAACATGTTCACAGGAGTGACCGCAGCCTCAGAGCACCCAGCAGCCAGATGCCCCAAAAGGCCACACCGAAACATGTACGACCCGGTCGTAGTACCCAAGGAACAGGACAAAGGACGGAATGTCCGACCTCAGGTGCATCCCTAGGGTACGAATGTTCGTCCGTATACCCTTAGACTTCCTTGAGGAAAGCGTGTGCAGCTACACACTGACAACAGTGCCAAACTGATGGAAGTAACGCCGCAGCAGGTCCTCGGGAAACTCCAAGGTCGCCCCATGAACACTCACATACGTAATGGCACCACTACGATCCGTAATTAACACAGAGCTGGCACCATCCAACAGTGGCAAGGAACGCCCCCTCATAGCGCTGGAGAAACACACGGTACGCCGCCTCCCCCAGAAACTTGATAATCACTCGGTAGGCAGTCACCAGTTCAACACCGTAAATCTCCTCCACAGGGACACGGAGCATTTCACACATTAATAATTTATAATTTCAACATTTAAGTTATGTTCCTCTAAAGACTTAAAGTCACATCTTGTTCAACAAATACGGGACATAACTTATGTACGTACTAATTTACTAACCACAAAAATATAACTTCAGGGTAGAGAGACAGGTACGTCAGTACTAAGACATGAACTGCGATCCGAGTCCCCCCCCCCCCTCTCCCAGAGTTATGTTGGAAATATCCACCACCTATTTCTTATTTCTAATACTTTGATAAATGATCTTTGTACTAACCATTATATTTTATTAACCCTACTAATCAATAGTAATAATTTTAATACATTTCTTACTGCGTAATAACAACGCCAAAAGTTTCCTAGAATCTATGGCGAAGTTAAGTAAGCCAGCCCGACAGAGGGAAAAACTATCTACATTTCAAAGAATTGCATTCAATTCTCACCTTCATATCAGCATTCTCTCTTAAGAATTATTAGCTGATATTACGTTTACTAGTGATCTAATGATATAGCATTATTTGCTGAGGATCACTATATAGAGTACATACTGTTATCACATATATACATGGAGGAAAGAATTCCCTCTATAACTTTTTCGTCTATATGAACTTTGTTTCATATTAATTGTTATATGACGAGAAGTTAATTAAAATTAGCTCTCTTATGATAAACTTTATCTTTATTATCTCGCATAGTTGAATAAATTATAAGAGTAAAAGTCTCCGTTCCAACACTCCGCGCTGTTGTGCATGTACGGGCAAGACAGGAGAAGGAGAGAGACGACGGCAGCCATTATTCTGGCAGAGAAGAAGTTTCTGAAGCGTAAAAATTTTACCAGTTCGTAATTACGTCATCCTAGCCGCAGCGGATGCCGAAGGACTGGAGCAGTTTCGTTATTACTCAGACACTCGGCTCGGCAAACAAATAAGACACTAAGTCTCTACTTATTGTTATATTTTGTGATCACAAATATTTAACAGGTAGGATATTTGTCGTCAGGCTGCATGGACTCTAAATATCAACAAGTGAGTCTTGTATCAGGTCACTTCCATATTTTAACTTAGAAAAAGGTGTAAGTTAATATTCGTATAGGCCTATTTTACACTCTACCCGTATTTCAGCTTGTGACTTAGGGACAAGAAGGGAGATAAGCCTCTACCTCAATCGCATGTTCTGGTACATCCTGTTTCAACAAGTTTTCTTGATGCTACTGCCCAGATGCTTACTACTATTTCACCACACAGGTAAGCTGTTGTTTAGCTTGTTGATAAAGTAGCCCTGCCATTCCCTGCCATAGCTACTGAGTTACATCCCTGCAATAAATACCGAGTCACATCCCTGCAATGCTCTGCCATACCTACTGAGTCACATCCCTGCCATCCCCTGTCATAGCTACTGAGCCACATCCATGCCAGATCATGGATGTGACTCCATGCACACAGCGACAGACATGCACACACACATTAAAAACCCACACATTCTAATAGGAAGAGAACTGTCGCACATGCAATCTCTATAAACTAAATGCACTCACTTTCACCAACATAAACATGCACGCACACTCACACACATGCGCACTGACACATCTTGTGTGTATGTGTGTGCAGCAAGGGGATAAACAGAAGGCACTGAACTACAGTCCAGTGTCCCTAACATGCATACCATGCAAGTTGATGGACAAGATTGTGCGAAAAACAGCTAGTGGAACATCTGCAGCGAAGGAACTTTGTGACTCGACATGATCATGGGTTCAGGGATGGCAAGTCATGCCTCACAGGATTAATTGAATTCTACATTCAGGCAAGAAAGAGAAGGGTGGGCAGACTGCATATTTTGGGATTATCAGAAAGCGTTTGACACAGTACCACACCAGAGACTAATGCAAAAGCTGAAGATGCAGACAGGAGTGAAAAGGACTCCATTAGATATGAGAGTACCTAAGTAACAGAAAACAGTGTGTCACTGTGAGGGGTGGGGCCTTAGATTGGCGAGACGTCACCAGAGGAGTCCCGCAGGGTTCAGTCCTTCGTCCCATACTGTTTCTGACATATGTGTATCCAATTCAATTCAACACTTATAATAGAAGTCATGCATATAACCCTCTACCAAAAAACAGATGACTCAAGCAGAAATATGATAGAGACAATTGTCTCTATCATATTGGTGATAGGCCACGTTGACATGGTGGCCATGTTAACATGGTCACCATTAATATAATAGTGACGGCAGCTTCTGTCGTTAGCAGGAACAGATCCAGACTGCTAATCATAAGAGACTTCAACCACTGGAAGATAGATTGGGTGAAAAGAAACCCATATGGAGGACCAGACACATGGAGAGCTAAGCTGCTGGATGTGGCAACAAGAAACTTTCTAAACCAACACATGAAGGGACCAACAAGACTGATAGGAGAAGGCGAACCGGAAATGCTTGCTCTGATATTCACCTGGAAGAGTCGGGTATAATGGAAGTTAAGTTGGAAGCACCCTTGGGAATGAGTGATTACAGTGTATTGATCTTTGAATACCCTGTAGAGCTAGGGGTAATCTTCCCCCCCCCCCAAAAAAAAAAAAGAACTAGAAAACAAGGGGCTGGCATATCAAAGGGAAAATTATGAGGAGATGAGAAAATTCCTAAGAGAAATATCATGGGATACAGAACTAAGACCATACAAGACATCGTGGACTATGTCACCCAAAAGTATCAGGAAGCAGTAAACAGGTTAATTTATCACGGTTCAAAAGGAAAACAAAAATGAGGAGCAAAGAAGAATCCATAGCTTAATGGAGCATGTATGAGCATGCAAAGGAAAGGAACAAAAGCGTGTGGAGGAAATAAGAGAAAAGCAGAAAGCCGAGAGAGATATCAGAGAGCCAGAAATGAGTATGTCAGAGTGAGAAGAGAAGTGGAGAGACAGTATGAAGATGATACAGCAAATAAATGGAGCAAATAAATGGAGCAAAACTGCGCCACAGCCACATCAGGAGGAAAACAACAGTGAAGGAACAGTATATGAAAATTAAAACAGGCAGGGACAGGTACACAGAGAATGACAAAGAGGTGTGTGAAAAACTCAATAAAAGATTCCAAGAGGTCTTCACAATAGAATGAGGTTCTTGAGCTAGGAGAGGTGGTAAAAAACCAGGCGGTCTTAAAGGGTTCTAAATTACAAGAGATGAGGTCAAGAGACACCTGTTGGATCTGGACGTGAGAAAGGCTGTTGTTCCGGACGGAAATCTCACCCACAAGTTTTAAGAGTGAAAGAGTGTGCAGAAGTACTTTGCTTGCCACTCTCCATGCTGTATAGTAAGTCACTGGAGACGAGGGAGACTTACCAGAAATATGGAAGACACCTAATGTAGTCCCGATATACAAGAAGGGTAACAGGCAAGAGGCACTGAACTACAGGCCAGTGTCTTTAACTTGTGTACCATGAAAGGCGATGGAGAAGATCGTGAGAAAAAACCTAGTAGCACATTTGGAAAGAAGGTACTCTGTGACACACCACCAACATGGGTTTAGGGAGGGTAAATCTTGCCTCACAGGTTTAACAGAATTCTACGATCAGGTGACAAAGATTAAGCAAGAAAGAGAAGGTTGGACAGACTGCATTTTCTTGGACAGTCGGAAAGTGTGTGACACAGTACCATACGAGGCTGGTGTATAAGTTGGAGAAACAGGCAAGAGTATCTGGTAAGGTGCTTCAGTGGATAAAGGAATACATAAGCAACAGAAAGCAAAGAGTTACTGTAAGGGGTGAGACCTCAGATTGGCGTGAAGTTACAAGCGGAGTTCCACAGACCTCTGTACTCGGACCTATCCAGTTATTGAAACACGTAAATGATCTTCCAGTGGGTATAGACTCATTCCTATCAATGTTTGTTGATGATGCTTAACTTTTGTGAAGGATTAAGACAGAGGAGGACTGCATGAGGCTTAAAGAAGACTTGGACAAACTGAAGGAATGGTCCAACAAATGGTTGTTAGAATTTAACCCGAGCAAATGATGTATAATAATGAAAGGTGTAGGGAGCAGGAGGCCAGATACAAGGTATCATTTGGGAGATGAATTTCTTCTAGAATCAGAGAGAAGTACCTGGGGGTTAATATCACGACAAACCTGTCCACCAAAGCCAAGAGGATAACAAGAGTTATCTTGTTATCCTCTTGGATAACTGTTATCAAGAGGATAACATCAGCGGCATATGACAGGTTGGCCAACATAAGAACGGCCTTTAGAAATTTGTGTAAGGAATCATTCAGAACTTTGTATACCATGTATCTCAGCCCAATCCTGGTGTATGGAGCTCCAGCATGGAGTCCATATCTCGTCAAGCATAAAACAAAATTGGAGAAGGTTCAGAGGTTTGCCACCAGACTAGTACCCGAACTGAGATGCATGCCCTATGAGGAGAGACTACGGGAATTTAACCTCACGTCGGTGGAAGACAGGAGAGTTAGGGGTAACATGATCACCACATACAAGATTCTGAAAGGAATTTATTGGGAAGACAGTTTATTTAACACAAGGGGCACACACACTAGGGGACACAGGTAGAAACTGAGTGCCCAAATACGCCATAAAAACATTAGAAAGAATTTTGTTAGTGTCTGGGGTAGTTAATAAATGGAATACATTAAGAAGTGATGTGGTGGAAACAGACTCCATACACAGTTTCAATTCTTGCCATGATAGAGCTTGAGAAGCTCAGCAACATGCACACCAGTTGATTTGCAGTTGAGAGGAGGGACCAAAGAGCCGAAGCTCAACCTCCGCAAGGACAACTAGGTTAATACAATTAGGTGAGTGCATCCCTGCCATCCTCTGCCATAGTTACTGAGTCACATCCCCTGCCATCTCGGGCCATAGCAACTGAGACACATTTCTGTCATAGCTATTGAGGCACATCCCTGCCATAGCTACTGAGACACATCCCTGCCATAGCTACTGAGACACAGACGATATTTTGTTTCTGGGAAATATCGTGTGTAGCATGTCAGGGTTTTCAGGCGAATTTAGAAATTCGTGTGTAGCAGTCAGGGTTTTCAGGTAAATTTGGGCAGTCACAGATTTGGAAGTAAGGATTTCTTATGATGAAAATAATTTCCGAGACTTAGAAGTTTGTTAAGGCCTTATGGGAGAAAAGTTCAA